CAGAACATGACGGCATTATACACATTTCACAAGTGACAGTGTTAAATAAATCTAAATCTAAATCTAAGATTACCCCAGTTCAATTGCTGGTGCTAGATTTCAGAATAAGGGACTGAGGATTTAAGTATTTTGTTGATTTGATTTATATAAATTAGCTATATGGGGTATTGCCCTGTAAGATTGATTGTAAACCTGATCGCCAAGGAGATGAATGATAACTGAGCTTAGTAGAGTCTCCTCTTACCTTTGATTCAAGTCGTGAGAATAACAGTCTGCAGAGGAATATAGCAGTGGGCAAAAAAGTGGCAGAGGGGCATAATGTGGGAACTTGAGGTTATGCACTTGGAAAGGAAGAGTAGAGGAGCTGAATATTGGTGAAATGGAGAAAGTCTACAGAAAGCTTTGGAACAGAGGGGTTTGGGAATCCTTGAGCGTAAATCACAACTTCATTAGGTAATAGGGGAAGCAAATGCACTACTGGCCTTGGGGTGTTGGACCACCTCTTAAGAAAAGTGTGAATAGTTCTGGTCCCCTCATCTAAGGAAAGATATACTGGTGCTGGAGGAAGTCCAGAGAAGTTCAACACGTTAATCCCATGTATGGAGGGATTTTCCCATGAGGAGATAGTGAGTAAGTTGTACTTGTTTAGAAGAATTAGAGTTTACAAGAATGAGAGGCAACCTTGTTGAAATGTATACGATTCTTATGGGGCTTTGCATAATAAATACAGAGAGCTGGAGGAACACAGCAGGCCAGGCAGCATCAGAAGAGCAGGAAAGTTGACGTTTTGGGTCAGGACCCTTCTTCAGAAAAAATTGAAGTGACTTGATATCATTTTCAGGCCATTTAAAATGTATTTGGACGTTAAATATATTTTAGATGTAATGGTATATTGAAGAATGAGAAGGGATCTCACTGAAATGTGTAAAAGTCTGATTGTGCTGGACAGAGTGGATTGTAGTAATTCAAGAAGACTTTATCACCGCCTTTTCAAGGGCAACAAATGCTGGCCCAAACAGGAATGCCCACATTTCATGAATGAATGAAAAGAAACTGCATTGTTTAAAAGGCTGCATCAGCTTAAATGATTAGAAACAGACTGGAGGTTGAGGGCACACTATCTGC